AGGGACTGGGGATGTTGCTCAGTGGTTAAGCAAACCCTGGTACCAAAAAAAAAAAAAGTGAGTCTAGCAACAAGCAAGCAATTTGTATTTGCCCAAATGGTATGTGCAGATCAAATCTTGGCAGACCAATTTAATTAATTTTTTTAAAATTTAATTATTTATTTTTGCATAGTAGGAATTGAACACAATTATATAGATGAGGAATGAGCAAGAGAAGCGATCTCTCTAGGTGGGAGCATCCCCTGAGACTCCATCTCAAGTGATTTTTTTTTTCATCAACTAGATACAAGGAAATAAGTGAGACTATTTTCTCTCTTTAGTGCAAGTACTAAGAGCCAAATAATATCCCCGATAGGTGGCCAATCAATGATTCAGCCTCAACCTGGAAGCATCCTGCCTGATGTCACTCATGTCAGAGCAGACCCAGGAGGAACATCTCTAGCTTTGCCCCAGTGGTGTAACTGAGAACTTCCTGATTAAGATCACGGATGACTCCCAGTTGTAAGGTATTAGTCTATGAAGGTAGACATAGACATCAAAATAGCATTAAAAAGAAGGGTCGGTATTGGCTCATTCACTGGACCAGCAACCAGGGTCACCCATAGTTGCTGCCCAGGCAAGGCTCAAGACAGGGTGCCGGGTGCCCTGATGGGTTTAACGCATGTTGGCGATCCTGGATGCTGAAATGGAGCAAATTATATTCCATGTATGTGTGATTATGTCACATTGAACCCCACTATTTATGTATAGCTATTCTGTACTAATAAAAATATTTTAAAATATATTAAAGAAAAAGACAAGGATGCCAAAGAAAAGGGGCGGGGATACAGGCCTAGAAGATGGAGAAAGGGTAGGTCGGCGTGATACCACAATGTTCTGGAGTATGTTCAGAGTGGGAGCGGGTTCATTGGAATTCAAGGTCACTTTACAGTTAACAAAGAATTTGCTGAGCATGTCGTATATGCCAGGCTCTGTATGCAGGCTAGTGGGGTAGCAATGAATGAGACATTCAGAATCCTGCCTTCCCAGGTTCTTCTCCCTTGACCCAACCTCTTAATGTTGAAGGCCTTGTTCTGGGCCTTCCGCTGCTTCTTGTGCCCATCTGTACTTACTCTCTGGCCAATTTAATTCACTACCAAGACTTTCCATCCATCTGCCAATAACTCACAAATTCAGACTTCCATCCCAGATTCGTGCGCCCAGTTTTCTCTTTGTCCACTCAATAAAACACAAACTCAGTCCATCCAAAGCAGAATCTCTATTCTTCCTTCTCCCTGCTCAAACCTGCTGCTTTCCTGGTCTTTCTCATCCCTATTCACGGCTCCAAATATGGCCAAAAGGGAGGCACTGTCCTCGATTCCTTCATCCATGTCCTGTTGCTTCAGTCCTCCAGAAGTTAGAATCACACCACACAGCCTGAAAATGTAAGTCCTAATCGTCTCCCATTCTAAAGGTTGCTGAAAACAACTAGAACCAGAATAGACAACTCCCTCCTTGTCCCCAACTGTGACCTTAGTCAAACTAGCCCTGCCACCACCAACCCAAGGAGCAGACTGGGGAAGGAGAGATGGCCTTTGGGGCCTTGTGCCTTGGCAGTGAAGACTGCCTCCCTCACTGAGGGGAAGAGAAGAGATAAATTCCACAGTGACAGGGAGGCTCTGAGGCAGTGGGTAGCAGCCTCATTCTGGAGAGGCCAGAGGCCAACACTTTTTAGGATTTGCCAGCCATACAGTGTCCACCACAACTACCTAATACTGTCGTTGTGGTGTGAAGGCAGCTGTAGACAGTAAGGAATGGGACATAAATAAGCGAGCAAGACTGTGTTCCAGTAAGACTTTATTTATGGGCACTTAAGCTTGAATTTCAGATGATTTTTCACATGTCACAAAATAGCATTTTTTCTTTCGATTTTTTTTTCAACCACTTAAAAAAGGTTAAGAACTGCTTTTAGCTTATGGGCTACACACAAAAACAGGGAGTCAACCAGATTGGCCTCTGGGCTGTAGTTCACATCTTAATCCAAGAGGGCCACTCGCTGACATTACAGGGACCTGCTAGAAAGGGACCGTGACACCTCGTTCCCTAGTAGGTGCCTAACAAGCCGCAGAGCTTCAGGCCCACCCTGGAGTAGTCAAGGGTGGTAGAACAGTGTGTGGGTGTTTGTCCTTTGGAGGCTGGGGACACACATGAACAGCAGGACAGGGCCTGCTTCTTTACTGGAAGTTTCTAAAGGCAGGATGACTTTGGGGGAAGCAAACCCTTCCAGTAAGAGAAACAGGACTCATCGGCATTCAGTCTCTCCAAAATACTTTTGGTGCAGGGTGGTGGTTGTGCTGGGGATTGAACCCAGAATTTCCAATGCTGAGAGCCATAGCTAAGTAAGAATGACGCATGGCAATTTCCTTGTCAGCCTACCCCATGTTGCTTAGAAGGAGGACTCTCCATTGTGGAAATGGGCTTGCCTTGGACCCAGGTCATTTGCAGTGACATTACATGAATGTTTGAGTAAGGTGACCCTGCTGAAGACCAGGGCGGATCAGGGTTTAGGGCGGATCGGGGTTTAGGGCGGTTCCAGGTTTAAGGTGATTCCTGCTGGGAATAGGGCGTATCCTGCTGCCTCAGGCGCCCACCCACTCCTTGAGTTCCTGTTGAGTTCTCGTGGGATTCAGAGAGTATTTGGGATTCAGAGCCTGGTGGAGAGTGTGGATTTTCCCCAGAACGTGAGTGTAGAGTGCCGGTGAGAGGTCAGGAATAAAGACTTGCTGTTTGAATCTACAAAGCTGTGAGTGGCTCGTGATTTTGTGCCCAGCCAGACTGCGGCATTCCAACATCAAAATACCCTGAGTCTTCTACATACTTGCTCTCTCTGCAATAAACTTGAACTGTAGCAACATAGTCGCAGGGGATGTACTGGGGGTGGCAAGCTTATGCGTGGGTGTTCCTTTTAAAATGTCCACTATTGTTGGCATAATGGGGAAAAAAAGTTATTCAGATAACAGAAGATTGAGCACTGATACTGGCCAACAGGGGAGGCTGCAGAATGTCTGTCTTGGGATCTTTAAAACTATGAGCTACAGCCATCTGTTTTGGAGGTTTTGAGGTGAGCCCAGCCTCCCAGGAGGAGCTGGATAGATCCCAGCTGCAGTTTCCACTGTCTCTATCATTACAGGACACGTGCATAGGGAAGGGTAGTTAGAGCAAGCAGCTCTGTTTTCCTTTTCTCTGACAACAGACATGGTAAAGATTAACTCCCCAAATCCCTGTGTAACACTGAAAACCCAGCCAAAGAAGTTTCCTTTGAAATTGCATCTGCCTGCATAAGAGATGTGCAAAGCCTCATTTGAATATGGAAATAACTCCAATTATTTGAGTCTCTTTGATTGCTAAAAGATTTTTAAAGAGGAGCCAGGCACCATGGAACATGCCTGTAATCCCAGCAACTTTGGAGGCCGAGGCAGGAGGATCCTAAGTGCAAGGACAGACTGGGAAACTTAGCCAAAATTTACAAATAAAAAGGACTCGGGATATAAATCAATGGTAAAGCACTCCTCGGTCAAACCCTCAGTACCAAAAATAAAACAAGATTTTTGAAGATGAAAAAGAAAAGGCATCCTAATATAACAAGGAATTTGTCAGAAAGGGATTGGTACAAACAAAACAATATTTTTTCCCTATAAAAGGGGTAGGCAGAGTTGGGAAATTGCACTTGTCTTCTTAGCCTTGAGGAGATACAGAGAGATTTTCTCGGGTCATAGGTTGCTCTGCATCAGGTGGCCCCAGAGTCTCAGCTCAATGTCGCTAAGTTGAGCCATTTTCTCTCTGGTTGACAAGTTTTCCTGGCACTAAAAATCCCTGCAAATTCAAATGTAATTGACAAATGTCATGGATGTCACAGATAGCAAAATTCAGTGTGGTTTGCTCTCTTGGGGCTGACTTCAAACCACTGATTGATAAGAGCTAAACTTCAGCTTTTGCTTTAAAAATTAGACCACATAATAGATTATTAAAAATAACACAGGGATAGGTATTATGTAAAATTTCCTATTTCAAAAAGAGAGAAAAAATTACTAGCTATTACCTTTTCATAGCTGATTTTATTTGCAGCTCTGTGATACTTTTTATGCTATGTCATTATCAATCAAGACACCCAGATAAATTACTTAACAGAGAGGCAACAGAGAGCTGCTCATGCAACCACCCAGCTGAGAAGAGCTTCTGTCTACTCTTTTCTTTCCTGGCAGACAGAATTGTGTGGTCTACAGTTGCTCTCATGTCCATTGATCTGAAGCCGTTGTGCAAATGTTTTTGTTTTTTTTTTTTTAAAGCTGGATTTCCTTCTCTCCATTGTAGCATGGATAATTATGAAAAGATGAAGAGAGAAAAAGAGAAGCACCACTTTTTATAATCATTGGTATTCATTGATCATCCAGGACATCCCTGCCTCTGGGCATGCCTGGTTCCCACTTCCAACAGCTGCCCAAGTAGGCATTCTTCATCCCTTTCTACAGCTGTGTACACTAAACTGGAGGAAGTTAAGTCACTTGTCTGGACTCATACTTCTGGTATGAAGTGGAGCCTGGCTTCCAGCCCAGCTCTCTGCCTCCAGGCCTCGCGCTAGCCACTGTTCAGCTGCCTGGCTAAGAACATACCCAGCATTGGCCAAGCATTTTCCGTGACTGTCCTGGTAGCACATTGATTTGTCTCCCTACATAAACCTCTTCCCACTTAAAAAAAAAAAAAAAATGCTCTTCACTGTAATTGTACCATGATGAATGACCTTACAGAGAATTTTCAAACATAAGATGTGCTATTGTTTCAATATAGCTTGTCCCCACCACAACTCACTGGAGGCCTGATTCCTCTGTGGCAGTATTGGGAGGTGGAGCCTCGTGGGAGATGTTTGGATCATGGAGGCAGAAACCTCAAGAACCGGTTAATGTCTCTCTGGTCAAATAGGTGAGCTATTGCAGAAATTCAACCCTTTTTTCTCTCTGTGCCAGACCTGCTTGTCCATCTGTTTTGCCACCATGCATGGAACAATGAGATCCTCACCAAAAGCTGAGAAGATACCAGCACTATGTCCTTGGACTTTCCAGCCTTCAACCAGAACTGTAAGCTAAATAAACTATTTTTCTATAATTAACCGGCATCAGGTATTCTGTTGTAGCAACAGAAAACAGACTAAGAGAGGATGTCTCTCACTCTCTTAACTGTTGGCAGTTTTTCTATTTCCTTCCAGTTTTCCTTTATGTGGGTTTACTGTATTCACCACATAATCATTACAGAATTTTATGCCAAATTTTTTTTTTTTTGCAAATACATGAGGTGTGGCCATTATCTGAAACTTAAAAAAAAAAAAGTGCCAGTATTAAAGATCATTTATTGGGGTTGGTGTTGTGGCCCAGTGGTAGACCATGTGCCTTGCACATGTGTGGCACTGAGTTCGATCCTCAGCACCACATAATAAATAAATGAAGGTACTGTGTCTATCTACAACTAAAAATATTCATGTATTTTTTAAAAAGGTAATTTATTATTAAACTGTCTCTGATGTAAGATTAGGATGCATGGAATACTTGTGAATATATGTTAAAATTGAATAGTCCAAATGAACACACATTATTTCTTTGTGGCAGTTTAGAGAACATTTTCCCAGTGTGAAAAAAATGACCACATTGGTTGTTATTGGTTTGTTCAGTATAATCAAAATATTAATCTTGAGAAAACTACTACAGGGTTGCAAAGTATGAATATAAAAATTTAATCTTCTGTGTCTGAAGATTCTGCCGCACCAGGATCGACAGACATCCTCAGGGCCACTCAACTCCTAAACGGGCTGGTGGGCTTTTTCAAATGTACTGACAATGCGCATGTGCTGAGCATTCCAGGTTCGCCCTATCAGTGTTGGAGAAGACAAATGCGCATGTGCCATGATGAATACATCACTGCTCTGTTTACTTTTTAAGTGGCCTGAGAAACAGAATTAGACCATTCAAATTCTAAGCCAAAAAAAGGTATGCCGGAGGCATCACAGTATCTGACCTCAAATTATACTACAGAGCTACAGCAACCAAAACTTCACAGTACTGGCATAAAACAGACACATGAACCAATGGTACAGCATAGAAGACACAGAGACAAACCCACATGTTTACAGTCATATGACCCTTGACAAAAGTGCCAAAAAACATACATTAGAGAAAATGGTGCTAGGAAAACTAGTTATTCATATGTAAAAGGATGAAACTAGAACCCATCTCTCATTCTACACAAAAATCAACTCAAAATGGATCAAAACCCTAGGAATTTAGACCAGAAACTATGCAACTCCTAGAAGAAAATGTAGGGTCAATATTCCAGCATATGGGCACAGGCAACTGCTTACTCAATAGGAACCCCAAAACTCAGGAAATAATGCCAAGAGTTAATAGATGGAATGGCATCAATTAAAAAGCTTCTGCACAGCAAAGAAACAATTAGAAATGTGCAGAGAGAGCCTATAGAATGGGAGAAAATCTTTGCTAGTTACTCTTCTAACAGAAGATATATCTACAATATATAAAGAACTCACAAAACTTTACACTAAAAAAAATCAAATAACTCAATAAATGGGCAAATGAATTAAAAGATACTTCTCAAAAGAAGGACTACAAATGGCCAATAAATATATGTAAAAAATGTTCAACATCATCAGCAATTAGGGAAATGCAAATTAAAACTACACAGATTTCATCTCACACCAATAAGAAGGGCAGTCACCAAGAATACAAATAATAATAAATGCTGGATAGGACGTAGAGGAAAAGGAACATTTATACAGTGTTGGTGTGATTGTAAATTAATACAACCACTATAGAAATCAGTATGGAGGTTCCCCAAAGAGTAGGCATGGAATCACCATAGGACCCAGCTATATCACTGTTCAGTATTTATCCTGAAGAATTAAAGTCTTTTACTACAGCACAATTCACAAGAGCCAAACTATGGAACCAGCCTATATGTCCATTAACACATAAATGGATAAGGAAAATGTGGTATATGTACAAGTTGAGTTTTCTTCAGCCATAAAGAAAAAGGAAATTATATTATTTGCAGGAAAATGAATAAAACTAGAGAAGATTATTGTTTTAGTTTTTTTTTTTTCTTCTGTGACTAAAGGGCCCAACCAGAACAACTGTAGAGGAGGAAAAGATTATTTGAGGACTCACAATTTCAGAGGTCTTAGTCAATAGAAGGCCAGCGCATTCCTCAGGGCTCTAGGTGAGGCAGAACATCATGGCGGAAGAGTGTAGCAGAGGGAAGCAGCTCACGTGATAATCAGAAAGCCTAGAAAGAGACTCCACTCTCCAGATACAAAATATATACCTCAAAGCCACGCCCCCAATTAACCACTTCCTCCAGCCACACCCCACCTGCCTCCAGTCACCACTCAGTTAATCCCATCAGGGATCAATTCACTAATTAGCTTAAGGCTATAACCCAGCCATTTCTCCTCCAGATCTTCTTGCATTGTCTCACACTCGAGCTTTTGGAGGACACCACATCTAAAGCATAACAATTATACTAAGCAAAATAAGTCAAACTAGAAGGTCAAGGTCATATGTTTTCTCTCATATGCAGAAGCTAGAAAGGAAAGAGGAAAGAAAGATGGGGGCAGATCTCATAAAAATCAAAGGAGATCAGTAAAGGAAAGGGATCTAGGGGTGGGAGATTGGGAGGGAGGGAAGTGCTGGGGAGTGATATTGGCCATTTATGTTCAAATATGTAACTACAAATCCCATCGCTATGTACAAATATAATGCACCAGTTTAAAAATGTGGGGAGGGCTGGGGATGTAGCTTAAGTGGTAGCACGCTCACCTGGCATGCGTGTGGCCCGGGTTCGATCCTCAGCACCACATACAAACAAAGATGTTGTGTCCACCAAAAACTAAAAAATAAATATTAAAAAATTCTCTCTCACACTCTCTCTTTAAAAAAAATTAAAAATTAAAATTAAAAAAAATAAAAATGTGGGGAAAAGGGGCTGGGGTTGTGACTCAGTGGTACAGTGCCTGCCTAGCACATGTGAGCAATGAAAGGTCATAAACCAGTTTTGGACTGAAAAAACAGAATGCAGCAATTATGTTGTAGTGATGATTATGTGATGAAATACTGTAGCACATGTTTTTAAATGTCAAAAATTATATGTCCTTCTTTGTGTGTTTAACTTAATATCATGAACACATTTCTATTTCCACATACACTTTATAATTATTCGTTCAACAACTGTATAGAACTCATCAACTTAATATAGTCCCATTTCTTAAACTATTTCTCTTCTTTTGAATTGTTTATCATGTTTCCCTGATATGACTAATGTTATATAAACTTTTTTTCTAGTCTATACCCTTTCTCCATTCACTAAGATTTTTCTTTTTCTTTTTTCTTTTGGTGCTGGGGATAGAACCCAGGTCTCTGTGCATATGAGGCAAGCACTCCACCCCTGAGCCATACCTCCAGCCCCTCACTGAGATTTTTCTTTAGGCCAAATTTCCAAAAGCATAATTATAGAGCCAAAGCACCTGAGTATTTTATGCTTGTCTCTCTTTCTTGCATCCTGAATACTTATTTATAATTTTTGACATTCTTCCTCTCAACTCCTAAGCATGACCTGGGAGTCAATCACTTGTTTTCCCTTCTACTTGGCTGGTATTAGGTTATACTGGAGATTGCTCACCAAGCTGCTACCAATTTCTGAACGTAAGTTAGACTTGTTGAAAAATCCTGTGTATCCCATTTAAGTAGCAGGCCAGAAAGATTATAATAGTAATAATAGCTACTCAGTGCTGGCAGGGGTATAAGGCAACACACATCCTAATTAATTTCACTGGGTATAGACTGGTACCTCTGTGAAAGGTAATTTGGCCACATGTAGGAAAGGCATTAAAATGTGTATGTAGTATATTTACTAAGTGTCACTTAAAAAAAGAAAATAAAACTTGAAAAACTGTGCACCTTTAATTCAATCATTTTCTTTTTATTACTTATTCTAAAAGAGGTAGCCAAGGTAGGTACAAACATTTAGCTACAAGCATATTCTTTACAGCTTAACTTAAAATAGCAAAATTAGAAATAAATTTATAACCAATAGAAGGGAATTGGTATGATAAATGATAACACATCTGAATGATAGAATACGTATGATACAATATGATAGAATACTATGCAGCCATTTAAAAATATAACGGTAAATGACATGATACCATAACAACCTAAACACAAGTTTATATATCTAATGAAAAACAAAGTCACAAAATAGTACTTATGTTATCTACTTGTGTAAAATATATAATCAGCCTTGCATACCTGAGAGTTCTGCATCCACAGATTAAACCAACCATGGATCAAAGATATTTTCATAGAAAATTTGTGTCTGTACAATATGTACCATCTTTTTCCAGTCATGATTCCCTAAACAATATGGCATAACTATTTACATAATATTTATATTATATTAGGTATCATAAGCAATCTAGAGATAATTGAAAGTGTCAGTGGGATGTGCATTTATTATATGCAAATACTTCACTTCTTACATAAGAAACTTGAGCATCCTCAGACTTTGGTATCTTCAGGGATCCTAGACCCAATCTCCCATGGATAGCAAAGGATAACTGTATACATAGGTACAAGTGGTTGAGGATATACTCTAATTGTTAACAGTATTTACATCTGGATGATGTCATTATTGGTGTTTAATGGTTTTGGTTTTTAAATTTTTTTCTCTACTTGTATTACTGCTTTTATAATAAGAAACAAATAATTGAAGTTTTTTTTTCTTATTTGAGACCAGTTTCTAAAACTTTTGTGTGCACAAAAAAAGATATTTCCCTTACTCCACCAAAATGAAATGGGGACAAGAAGAATGGCTGTCTATCATCTTCTAGATTCCATGTGTGCTCCTTCATCCACACCTCCAAATAAAAGGGGTCATCAGAGTGTAGCAAAGAGCATAAGGGAAATCACTTTCTAAATTTAATTCAAAATGTGGTACCTCCAGCCTAGCAAAGGAAGAGAGTATGCCCCAACCCCTCTAATAGTGGACATGCACAGCTCCCTC